GGTTCCATGACCAGCTTCAAGTCACACAGTATAAGTGGTAGAGTCAGGATTTGAACTCACATCTGTGTGACTACAAAGCCTACCCTGCTAAACTGTTAAAATGCAGCCCTTTCCCTCAAAGACTCATCGTCTAATTAGAGAGACTGTGGAAACAACTAGCTACAAAGGGAGGCAAATACAATTTGTGTTAAATAAGTGATAAGATGTTGATGTATTGAGGAATAATGAATTACTTCTGCCCAGATGATCAGGGAAGGCTCTAAGGAGGAGGTGGCACTCAAATAGGGCCTGAAAGGTAAGAAGAAACACAGTAAAAAAAAAAAAAAGAAAGAAAGAAAGAAAAAGAAAGCAAGAGAGGCTCCTTTGGGGTGAGACCAGGGGGCAGACCAAGCCTATGCCCCTTGGTGACAGCATGGGCCATTCCGTAGGGACTGGTTGGTCAAAGAGCTCATCCCCACGGTGAAGTTCTTACACAGCCACCAAAGACATGGAGCAAGAGGATTGTGCCACTGGCTGGCCGTTTCCAGAACACGAGTTCCAGTTCCCTCTCTAGAAGGGCAGAGCTGGGAGAGATGTGAGCACCCATTTCTCCAGGTGCGTCTGTGATCAGGGGCTCAGCCTTTCCAGAGTTGGCCCAGGCTGGGGATCTATCGCAGTGACTGAGGAGGGCTGTCCCAAGGTTGGATCCCTCCATGCACAGGCTTGAGACCCATGCCTTCAGCCATGTGGGGCTTACCAGGGAGCTGGTTGCCTGAAGACTTAGGCACTAGTGAGTGCTAGACCTTTCTGGAAGGCACATTAGAATGTATACACCCTTTGGTCCAGTTTTTCCACTTTAAAGAATCCTCCATTGGGGGGACCAGCAGTTAGCGTAATGGCTATGTTGGTGGACTCTCATGTAGTCGACTGTGGTTTGCGTCCCGGACCCGGTGGCTTAAAACTCATGCCGGGCACGTGTGCGTGCGTGCCCAAGATCCCGAGAGGAGAATGGAGGAGAAGGGATTGTGGCATGGCCATCCCCCCGGGGGGTGATTTCTCGCTTTCTGTCTCTCTGTCTGTCTGGCGAGTGCACGTGCCCTATAGCAAAAAAAAAATAAAAAGAAAAAGAATCCTCCATTGGGACCAGCAGTTGGAGTATTGGCTATGTTGCTGGACTCCTATGTAGTCGACCACTGTTCGAGCCCCGGACCTGGTGGCTTAAACTCACGCCAGGCGCGTGTGCATGTGTGCCCAAGATCCTGGGAGAGAAGGGAGGAGAAGGGATTGTGGCATGGCCATCACCTCTTGGGGCATGATTTCTCGCTTTCTGTCTGCCTGTCTCTGTCTGTCTTTCTGGTGAGTGCATGTGCCCTATAGCAGAAAACATCTCAAATAAAAAATATGTCCTCCATTGTAAAGAAATATCCACTACTTCTCTGTACCTCAGCTTCCTCACCTATAGATTGGGCTGATAGTCCCTCACAGGGTTGCTGGAGGATCAAGTGGATACTTCGAGTAGTGCCAGCCAAAAAGGGGGAACAGAATAAGTTATTATTACTTACGTAGAGCCAAGAGGAAGAAGCGTTATGCATTGCCACAACAAAAATGGAAACAACCTAAGTATTCCCAAATAAAAAAGCATAAGATAAAAAAGGAATAAAAAAGCATTTCGATGAAATAGGATGCAAACCCAGGGAGGGCATTTTATAGCATTGAAACTCATGTTTTATATATTAACTTCATAGGAAGTATCTCAAAAAAGCAGACTACAAAGCTTGTGACGTAGGGCAGTGAACATGCTGCAAAATAGATACAGATTTATGTATTTATTTTTGCATAGAAAATGCCTATACCATAATTACCCAAATACCTATAGCTATTATCTTTGAGTGGTAAGATGATGGGTGATTTTTTTTTCTTCTTTATATGTTTCTATAGTTTCAAAATAGTTCAAATGACTTGTTCCCTTAATTAAATTATTTCGTAATTTATAAAGACATTTATATAAAAATTATACTTTAATCGTTTCATTTTTCAGGTGTTTGCTATAGGGCGTGGTTGCCAGAGAGAGAGACAGAGAGACAGAGAGAGGGAAAGTGAGAAATCACCTCCCAAGGAGGACAGCCATGCCACCATCCCTTGTCCTCCATTCTCCTCTTGGGATTTTGGGCACACATGCCCAGTGTGATTTTCAAGTCGACTGATCTGAGATTCAAACTGTATAATTGGCCACATGGGAGTCCAGTGTCTTAATCACAATGTCACCTGCTGGCCCCCGCTTTAATTATTTTTATAAATGAAGTCTTATTTTAAAAAACACAATAACTTGATGGCAAAGAAAAAAATTGTGTGAGAGAAGATGGTGGCCAAAACGTATTACATGACAACAGATATGATTCTAAACGATTTAATGTAAGTTTTTTTGGTCTATTTTCTTTCTTTCACAAGAGCATGAGTGTATTTGCATGAGCACATGTGTGTGTGCGTGTGTGTGTGCGCGCGAGAGAGAGACAGGCACCCTTGACAGGGTCGCATCCTGCCACAATCCCCTCTGCCAGCCCTCCAGCCAGTTAGGTGTTGAGCTTGCCTGGGGTGTTTCAGGGAATCCGAATCTTAGTGAGTCATGTGGCTTCCAGCCCTGTGATCAGTGCGCTACCACCAGTGCCACTGAGGCCGGGCCCAGAGCCCCTCCTTGACCACCACACTGAATGACCAAAGAGATCGCCATGTCCTTGTGACTGCTCTTCGCCAAGACCACGATCAGCCTGCGCAGGGCCAACGCAGGCCTGGACTCCCTTTCCTGAGAAGGAACAGCTCCCAGGTTTCCTGTTTGCAGCCCTTCTTCTTGCCTAGCAAACACTCCTGAGCCCCACATCTCCGGCAGCTACTGATTTCCACTTCCCTTGGGCATCTCCTCGGCACCTCTGGGGATATTTCCCATCGACGAGAATCTACTTGGCAACACGCAATGGCTCAAGATCTCATTATCAGAATTCTCCCGAGCACAGAATCTGCAGCTGTGACTGGCTAGCCTGCCTTCATCCAGCCATCCAAACTCCCAACCATCTATCCGTCCTGCTGTTTTCTTTTTTGCTATAGGATGTGCGCACTTGCCAGAGAGAGAGAGAAAGAGGGGAAGTGAGAGATTCCCCCACCAGGGGGATGGCCACACCACAATTCCTTCTTCTCAGCTGAGGCATCTCAGCTGAGATGGTTGGGTTGCATCCTGGCTCTGCCTCTCAGTGCCTATGCAAACCTGAATAAGCCATGTCACCACTCTGAGCCTGTTCTCTGTTATAAAGTAGGGGCAGTGCCACCCGGGCCATGATATTAAATAAGAATATAAAACCCTGGCCTGCATGTTTTTCAAGCCGCTGGGTCTGGGACTCAAACCATGCAGTCAGCCATGTAGGGTCCAGTACTTTAACCTCCATGCCACCTGCTGGCCCTATTCCTCCTTTATTTATTTATTTATTTATTTATTTATTTATTTATTTATTTTATTTGACCAGAGAGTGACAACTGCAGTCTGCCATGTGTGAGCCCAGTGCCCTTAACCACTACACCATCTGTGGGCCCTATTCCTTCTATGTTTTAAAAAAATATTTTCTTATTTCATGAGAGAGCAGGTGGGCACACATGCGAGAACGAGAGAAGGCAGAGAGATGTGTACCCTTGGCGGGGTCTGGTCGCACCGCCATCTCCTTGTACGTGTGGCTGGGAGGCTGGGCTGGGAGCCTGTGTAGTAAAGGGCCCGGTACAGAGGAAGGTCTGGAAACGATCACTGTCGTGAGCTGGAAGCTGTGAAGAGGGGCCTTGGGGCTGGCACGTGGCTTCGATGAGTACTTGTAAGATGAGCGAGCTCAGCTCTTTGAGGACAAACTGACAGAGGGAGACTGGCCAGGCAGGGTTGGACATGTGGACACCTGCCCATGGTGTGGAAGGACAGCCCACCAGAGAGAAGGCATCCCTCCCCTCTCTAGCCACCCTGGTGCAGGTCAGATACGACAACATAATGACACTGAGCACGTCTCTGGAGGGCTGGATCCAGTGTGGCGGAGCAGAAAAGGCATCTCAGCTGAGGTGGTTGGGTTGCATCCTGGCTCTGCCTGTCAGAGCCTATGCAAACCTGAATAAGCCATGTCACCACTCTGAGCCTGTTCTCTGTTATAAAGTAGGGGCAGTGCCTGGCCTATAACAGCTGTGGACCCAGGCTGGTAACTGAGGCTCTCCCATCGTGTCTGGCTCCTGGCAGGCTCGGGTAGGGGTGACTGTTAGGATGACTGTATCCCCACTCATGGCACAGCGTAGGCGCTGTAAGAACATGACTTCTCTCGTCAGCCTTCTGAAGAAGGACTGTTATTCCCCACGCAGGGTGTGAGCAAAGGAAGGTTAACCAGCATGGCATCTGGCGCCTGCCAGGAGCCAGACACCATGGGAGAGCCTCAGTTACCAGCTTGGGTGCATACCACAGCCTCGCAGGGAGGCGCTGTCAGAGCCCTCATCAAAGATGAAGACAGGAGGGTGGCCCTGTAGCCTAGCAGATAAAGGAAGCCTGATCCTGCATGGCCAATTGAGATTGGAACCCCAGTCCCAGCAGCTCGAAAAGCGGTGGGCACGTGTGTGTCCCAAATCCCAGCTGGATGGAGGAGGGAGAGCAGGGATTACGGTGTGGCCACGCCCATGAGGGGTGCTTTCCCCCTCCCCTCTCTCTATGAAGCACCTGTGCCTGCAGGTAAGGAAAGAAAACTGTTTTCTAAATGCCAGGAGGCAGACGGAGGGAAAGTCTGGTGTCACTGTTATTGTTCTTATCTGGCATGGTGGCTAAGATACTAGACTCCCATATGACTGACCTCAGTTCGAGTCCTGGACCTGGAGGCTTGCTTTCTCACTTTCCCTCTCTCTCTCTCTGCCTCTGTCTCTCTCTGGTCAAATAAAATAATAATAAAAATAATAATGCATTTTTTAAAATTAAATAAAATAACTCTTAAAAAATAATAAGCTAAGTTCGAAGCCAGTCAGTAGTGGTTAAGGCACTGGACTCCCACGTGGTTATCTTTACAAAAGTCCTAGCAGCTGCTACCTTCGCCTCAAGAGCCACCATTAGTTAAGCTGGTCCTGAGTCTCCAATGCCTGAGGACAGGAGAGAGGGCCTGAGGGGTGCCCAGGACCCCCTGGCAGGACACCTCACCTTCACAATGACATCCATGGCACCGTGGTTCTCCCTCTTGCTCTCCCCGAAGGACCTCACATTGAAGGAGCAGATCCGCAGGCCCAGGGCGCCGTGGGCGGAGAGGAGCAGCAGCAGGGCAGCCAGCCTGGGCGACATCCTGGCGCTCCTCTGCCTCCGGGGCTCTGTGAGGAAAGAGCAGGTTCCAGCCACCTCTGCAGTCTCAGCTGACTCGGGAAGCCTGCCCCTGACAGGAATAACTGGATTCCTCTTGCTGCTTTCACTTCTCTGAGGAACCGAAGACGGTGCGTTCCAATCCGAGGAAACGAAGATAACTGGGCTAGCCTTTGAGGAGCCCTGTCTTATCACCCTGGTGAGGAAACTGGCATGCCCAATTGAGGCGTCGATCTCCCCCGGAAGCGAGCTCTGACATCTGGTCACCTCTCCTGTGGTTTGCACGCCACGTGACTTCTCCTGAGCCTGATGGTCTCGGATGTGGTCCACCCTGAGGGCACCTGGGGTGATGGAGCCTTCTGCCGGGGGACAGTGAAGCAAGAGGAAGCGGGGAATTCTGCCAGGTTTTCTGTAAATCACTGGGACTTGGCAACCAGTTACCCCTGGGCACACCCAGGCACTGACTCTCTAACTACCCTGATGGGTGTAAATGCAGGTCAAGTTTAATTTGAATTACTTAATTTTTTCGGCACTTTTATTATGCACAATTTAACACGCCAATTGCCAGCCACTTGTGACTAGGAAAAGCAACGACTGGTCTGCTAAACTGGATCAGTGAAATGCCCTTGGACTTTACGGACAAATAACCAGTTCTCGCCCCCAGAGAGATCCATGATTCAACCTGCTATTAGGTTTTTAAAATGTTTGCAAGAGTTGTGTGACCCTGCGAAGGGACGGTTTGGCAAGAATTGTAGGGTTTCAGCTCAAGTAAAATGACTTTTAGAGATTTGGGCAGGAGGGTAGGAAGTTTGGAAAAGCAAAAGAATTGCAAAGTCTAACTGGGTGATACTCACACGCTTTGGCAATGACAATTTCTCTGTGCAAAGGGATAAGTCTGCATTGGGACCTCAGGGCCATCCGCTCCTGAAGTGATGGGGCTGTGGCTGTAGCCAAAAGGGGCATGAATATCACCAACATATGGTCAAGCGGTGTCCTGGGCAGGCCTGCCCGGGCATTCTAAGAGATAACCCTAAATAGGGCATGGAAGGAAATAATGATTTCCGGAACTCATGGTGAATTGAAGCTCCCCGAAGTCCACAGCTATAGATCTTCGGTCTGGCTGAATCGCTAGTAAAAACAGATCTGGTTAATAGGATAGTTAATCATCTTTCCTGGTGAATAAGCATTTTTCCAACCAGAGGAAGATTTTGAATTAAATGTAGAATGTTTAAGAGACTCAGCACTGTGGTACACATTTTTTTTTTTTGAGAGATTTTCACTGTAGGGCGCGTGCGCTCGCCAGACAGACAGAGAGAGACATAGAGACAGAAAGCGAGAAATCACCCCCCAGGGGGGATGGTCACGCCACAATCCCTTCTCCTCCATTCTCCTCTCGGGATCTTGGGCATGCACGCACACGCGCCCGGCGTGAGGTTTAAGCCACCGGGTCCGGGACACGAACCGCAGTCGATTACATGGGAGTCCAGCGACATAGCCATTATGCTAACTGCTGGTTCCCTGTGGTACACATTTTTTGTGTCAGAAGGAATGTAGGCATGTGTGATATTTTATGAACTTAGTAACATATGAGAGATTTGGGGCCCGTTAAATTGTCAGTCTTGTCAAGGCAATATAAAAGATGCACTTGGGGAGATGGATGTAGATTCATGACTGAGTTGAAGCCTTACTAAGTTTATGTATGGTTCTGGAACATTTACAAGGGCTTTGGGTTACCAGTGCTTTATATGAATTTAGTTTATTAGACTTAAGAATTATGTAATATTTTAAAAGGTGGTTTGTCAGTTTAGACAACTGAAGAATTTTAAAAAGGAAATAAGGTATATGACACTTTTAAAGAAGTTTAAAACGGTTAAAATTTAGCCCAAAATCTCTTAAAAATAATAATTTAAGTTTGCTGGATTTAAGGTTGCTAGATTTAGTAAATAAAAATACAGGGCACTAACCAGATTTAAATTTTAGATCATTCAAATTTAAATGGGTAACCAGGACCAGGAGATAGCATAATGGTTATGTCGCTAGACTCACACGTAGTTGACTGTGGTTCAAGTCCCAGGTCCAACGGCTTAAAACTCATGCCAGATACAGGTGCATGCATGTCCAAAATCCCAAGACGAGAATGGAGAAGAAAGGATTGCAGCGTGGCCATCCCCCCCGGGGGGTGATTTCTCACTTTCTGTCTCTCTTTCTCTCTCAGTCTCTCTCTGTCTCTCATGTGAGCACACACACCCTATAGCAAACATCTCTCTTTAAAAAATTTTAAGTGGGACCATCTGTTTTACCTGGAACTTCAGCTAGAGTTGTAAAAGGAAGAAGAACTTTTGTAAGCTGAGTGTAAAGTGAGGCATTTTAAAGGGAGTGATCACTCTGACAGAATCCTGGGAACATTATTAATTCCTCGCATCAAAAATAAGCTAAGTTTGGAGCCAGTAGGTGGCATGGTGGTTAAGACAGTGGACTCCCACATGACTGACCTTGGTTTGAGTACAGGACCTGGAGGCTTGCTTTCTCACTTTCCCTCTCTTTCTTTGTCTCTCTGGTTAAATAGAATAATAATAATAAATTTTCAAAAATTAAATAAAATAACTTTTTACAAAAAGCTAAGTTTGGGGCCAGTCAGTGACATGGTGGTTAAGGCACTGGACCCCCATATGGTTGACTGTGGTTCGAGTTCCAGGCTCAGCAGCTTGAAACTTACACTGGGGGTGTGTGCATGTGTGCCCAAAATCCTGAGAGGAGAATGAAGGAGAAGGGGTTGCAGAGTGGCCATCCCCCCGCAGGGGGAGATTTCTCACTTTCTCTGTCTCTCTCTCTGTGTCTCCAGCAAGTACACATGTTCTATAGCAAATCTCTCTCTAAAAATAAATGAATAAATATCAAGCTAAGCTCTAGACCAAAAGAGTCAACTAATTCATTTTCGAAATTTTAATTTTGATACTTCATGTATTAATTAAAATACCATAACCCTCTAAATAGAGGCTTCTGCATATAGAATCTACCTTTGAGGATGTAAAAAATAATTTTGTGTGAACAGACTGAAGAAATAAATTCCATTCTATAATTAGTATATTCAGTGCAAGAAATCAGAAATATGTGCATTCTTTTTTTAGCATTATTTGTATTTAATTTTATTTATTATTATTATATTTTAAATTTGCTATAGGGTACATGCACTCACTAGAGAGAGAAAGACAGAGGGAGGGAAAGTGAGAAAACAAGCTGCCAGGTCTGGCACTTGATCTATGGTCAACCATGTGAGAGCCCAGTGCCTTAACCACCAGGCCACCTGCTAGCCCCAGGACTTGGGAGTTTTGAGACAGTTCCTTCCAGGAGCCTAGACCCTAGAGGCAAAGGCAGACACTGACCTGACCTACTCTGACCACTCAGGTTTCTTTCCTTTCTGCCATTTAGTGAATAGGGATGGTATTTCTTGCACCATGTGCTTCCAAACAGGAGCCTGCAAAACACTCCTAGAAAAAAAGGACAAAATGTGTCACTCCTTCTTGGAGGTGTAGAATGCATATTAGCATATTAAACACTCTGACAAGTCCTGTAATACGAAAAGGCTGCCTAACCATTGAAACAGTGCCTGAATTTATTGTGCCAGGAACCCTGTCCTTCACGACTATCTTGGACACCATCCACCTTGGGACCCACCAGCCCTGACTGTGCAGGGAAAACAGAGGTCCTCAGCATCTCCAGCTCTTGTCTCTGTCAATAAGAGGAGTCTCATGGGTGTCACATGAATGGTCAGAAGTGAGGATCAGGAGATCAGACACAGCCTCGTCAGCTACAACCGTTCCCACAGGCCCTGGAAGGACGAGAGGCCTTGGAGTGAGGAATATGCTGGGCCAAAGAATGTGCTGGAATTTGAGAATGGCAAGATGGAGGTTCCAGAAGAAGCAAAAGTGCCACAGGCTGAGTCACCCCAGAGCGGTGAGTGAGAAGCAAAGGGCCTGCGGCAAAATCCCCACAGCACGTGACTCAAGCAGGTGTTCCCAGCGACTGCTGCTCCTTGTCCAATTGTGAACAAGCCCTGGCCTAATCTTGTAATGCACGTGGATTGCACGATCATCACATTTCACAACAGCTTGGGGTTTGGGGCGAGGGAGGTGTATTTGTCAGGGTTGCATAATTGTGACCAATCTCACCTCCATATGATTCTTTCCAGCTGATGAAACAAGTTCTGGGTTCCACCCTTGCACCACAGGGACCTCAAGAGCTCAAGAGGGTCACTATCTGAAGGGCAGATCTGTGTGTCACTGCTCCGATGAAATTCTTCAAAGACTTTTTTTATTTAAGAGAGAGATTTTTGCTATAGGGCACGTTTGCTCACAGGAGACAGGGAGACAGAAAGCAAAAAAATCATCACCAAGGAGGATGGCCATGCCACAATCCCCTCTTTTCCATTATCCTCTCAGGATTTGGGGCACACATGCACACATGCCCAGCATGTTTTAAGCCTCTGGGTCTGGGACTCGAATTGCAGTTGAATGTGTGGGAGTCCAGTGACATAACCATTATGCCATCTGCTGGTCACCCCAGTCTCCTCTCACACTGCCCGGCTTTCAGTTCCTACCTCAGGGCCTTCGCACAGCTGTTCCACTCACCTGCAGTGTGCTCCATCCCTCGTCCTTCTGGGTCTCAGCCTCAGTGCCACTCACACAGAAAAGCCTTCCTGTCCCCCTCACCCTGTGAGGGCGTTCCTCTCCTCTCATTCCTGGTGCCAGGGCCCTTGCTTCGTGGCCGGTATCATAGTGTGTTCCCTATGAGTTTGTCGTTCCCTTGCCTAATGTCTCTCTCCCTACACAGCTCCCTGGGACAGGGACACCATTGTCTGCCATATTTTCTTTTCTTTTTAAAGAGGCGTTTGTCTTATGGCATGTGCATATATGAGGAGAGACACAGAGGCAGTGAGAGGGAAACTGAGAAATCACCCTCCAGGGGGATTGGCCGTGCTGCAATCCCTTCTCCATTCTCCTCCTGGGATCTTGGGCATGTATGCACGAATGTGCCCGGCGTCATTTTCAAGCCCCCAGGTCTGAGACTCGAACTGCAGTCAGCCATATGGGAGTCTAGTAATGTAACCGTGAGACCATCTGTTGGCCCCTGGAGTCCAGGTTCTTAATGACAGTGCGAATGCTGAGCCAGGAGTACCCCTCACCGCCAACA